TGACTTCAATATCGCTATGAAAAGACAATGTTTCAATTCAGCTCATAAACGCGAAGCAAACTATTGCCAGACCTTCATAGAACATCTCAGCAAGGATGCACTTAAGTGGTTCTCAAACCTCACGCCCGGATCGATCGAGAAATTCAAAGACTTATCTACCGCCTTCATGAACCACTACACGATGTTCACCACCAAGAAACCGTCAACTTATTCACCATGATCCAAAAGAATGATCAACCACTTCGCGAGTACATTGTGATATTCAAGAACGACGCTGCAGCTTATGGCCATAAATCGCAGAAGCTGGCGTTGGAAGCATTAATAAACAGACTATGATACGAATCGACGTTTAAGGACGGCCTATAGACTACTCCCTGAGAAACCTTGGAGGATGTGCTCCACCGAGCTCAAACTTTCATTTGAATGGAGGAAGAGAGAACCTTCTACGCCAAAAGCATGGCATCAAAGGGACGTCAGTTTCGAAAAGAAAGAACCAAGGAACCCGTTCAGACAAAGGCCGCCCGTCCTCACACGCTATCACGAAAGTAAGAGAAAAGCCTTGGAACCAGTGGAACCGAGGTGATATCCCAAGCACCTCGACTGAGGGTGATAATAACCATGATCTTTACTGTTCCTTTCACAATCGCACAGGGCATGCCACTTCAGGCTGCTGTCATCTCCATGAATCCTTACTTAAAAAAATAAGGGAGGAGAGATAGACATCGACGGAGATCGATCACAAAGTATGACCGCTTACGAACGCAGTATGGAAAATAAAGAGGAACGTCGAGCTACATATAGAAATGACCGCCGAGATTGCAATAAGGATAATTGCTGAGGTATCTTAGAAGGACGACACCAAAGCTGCTTGCCCGCTAAAAACGAGAAGACAATAATGAGCAGAAACGTCTAGAGAATTGAAAACGAGGAACACGATCAAGATAACTCGCCCCCACCACCCAAAAGACGCATCAACATGATCATGTGAGGCCTATCCGACTGCGATGACTCAGTCCAAGGAATTAAGGAATATAGAAGGAAGACAATCACATCTAGGAAATTCCCCCGCTCCATTGACTACCAACCAATGATCACCTTCACTGCCAAAGATATGCAAGGTCTTCACATCTCACACAATGATCCTTTGGTTGTCGAACTCCACATCCACGAAAGTGAAGTGGCAACATGATCGACACCGGGAGTATGGTTAATATTATCTTTAGGGATATGTTAACTAAAATGGGACTCCATGGCAAAGATATTAAGGCAGTGCCTAAACCACTCACCGGGTTCGCTAGTGAATTTTTCTTCAGCATTGGAACCATCAGATTGACTGTTTACGTCAGCAGCATAACCAAGATTACCAAGTTCACTATCATTGACAAACCTGAAATCTACAACGTCATTCTCAAAACACCTTAGATTCACAAGATGAAAGCTATCATGTCAACTTACCACCAATGCATGAAGTTCGTTACTTCTTTTGACATATTTGCACTTCACGACAACCAGCAGATGGCACGATCCTGCTTCATCAGCGAGTGAAAAATATGATTTACTTTGGCGACCACCTCAACCAATGCTAAGAAATCACATTAGGGTCACTACGGGATTTGGAATATTTACTTTAAAAGAGAGAGAGAGAGAGAGAGAGAGAGAGAGAGAGAGAGAGAGAGAGAGAGAGAGAGCCTGGCTCTCGAGCTTGCATCTGACTAATAATTGTAAAGAACTACCAAAGAAGCCTCCGGATTCAGCTATAAATCTAATTAAAAAAATCATCTTATCATCTTTCTCTTTGAAATTCAGCTCGGCATGTGAAGAAACTCTCTCTACAAATTTTTTTCCATTAAAACTATTCTATGCAAATGCATTCAATATTGTCAATGTTCAAGCCAAATGTTTGATTTTAGACTCGAATAAACTATGTGGCTGATCACCATCCTTTGAAGCTTTGGTTCAATTTAATTACTTATGAAGTCTACAATATGAAAGCCGAAGATAACACTCGCACGACCCCAAGTCATATAAACACTTTTTGAGCCAAAGTGAATCATGTAAGCGTGGAATTCGACCTTGCTGTCATTTTTGTTTAAGTCGGGTAAATAGACCTCACCTCCACATTGGACCAAAAAGTGCCACCGCATTGCAAGTCCAAAAGTCGGCTTCCATAAATTCTTTCCAAGTTAAAGATCAGCCTTGACAACGAGCATTATGTCTTTAAAGAACATTATTGATGAATTACTTAAAAAGCATCACCTCCCACGTCTTTGAAAGATTACAAGATTACCACTTTGATTAATTTATCTAAGTTGACTAGATAAATTCATCACTTCGTCACCATCCCACTGAATCTTGAAGTGGTTAGGGTTGCAATTGCCGCCCTCTTGAGTTTCCGTTTTAGGCTTGGCAAAACCTTCCGAAGCAACGCCTCCAAGCTAACTCTAAGGATGAATGGCATTCTCTGTCTCTGGAGTCTCAGGATCTTGTGAAGTAGATATTTTCCGAGGAGAAGTAACGGTACAAGAATAAACTATGGTGTATGCGTAACAGTATTCAAGGAATTCAAGTCACCCTCTACCTCGGCGCGTAGACCAGCCTAATGAGCTTCTTCAGCTCGCATTGCTTCTTCGGCCATTTTACCATTAACTCGCCTAACCCTCTCCAATGCAGCGGCCCTATTAAAGCGACTAAAATACATCAAGAAAACAGCAAAAGAAAGAGAGAGCAGGGAAGTCGTGAATGCGTTAGTACCTCTCCACTTTGTCTGGAACCTTGCTGCCCTTTGAGTTCTTTACGACCTTGTCAAATTCCACTGGGATAGGCTCCGATGGAAAATTCAATTTTGGTCTCTTTGAAGGAGTCCCCGCGGGGATAGCAATCTCTAGTGTTGAAGTCATATTCCTTCTGTTAAGACCCATCATCTACGGCTCTGGTTGCGTTGGTTTCTTAGAAGCTGAGACATCAAGACAGCAAGAATAAACAACCGCATTCTGCAATGCAACAATACTAGTCGTTTAAACAATATGTATAAAAAAATTACCTGCTCTTGGAGTTTGGTTTTCTCCACTTGTGGCTTCGGAGCCTTCACTCTCCTCTCTAAAGGACTCTTCTTCTCCTTCACAGGCCAAAGTCTCTGACTGAATTTTTAGAGCTTGTCGACGTTGATATCAAAGCTGAAGGGGTCTAACCCGAGATTGACTTTATCTGCAAAAGAAAGAATGACGAGGTTAGTACTCTCGAGTTGAAAAGTTGCATCCCTCAAAAAGCAAATTTATCTACCAGACTTAAGCCTCGAAGACGTGAAAAGATCGAGATCGTAATTGCTGATAGATGCTTTATTACTTTTTATAAAAACTTTACCACTCTTGGACTTTACTCGCCGGGTCCCCACCAATGATATTGAACTTCATTGTTGTGTAAAAATGACAAGGCTTTTCTGAACCATCAGTCTTCTCACTCTTGAGAATCGTGATCCTCTCAAATATATTCCAGTTAAATTATACCTCTGCCGCCCGGACAACCACCACCGTACAATTGAAATGACGAAACACGGCGTGGGAGAGCTGTCTTAAGGAACTTTCCTTCGTTCACAGTAACGAATAAAATGTGACAAAATTGAAAAACTAAGACCGAAATCAGCAAAGTGGCTCTCATACCCGCAGAAGTAGCCCTTTGGAGGTTTCGACAGTGTCTTGTGTGGTTGAGGAAGTAGTTCCACCCGCTAGGAAAATCACATCTCCGCCGAAGCTCTTGAAGTCTATCAGCAGTCATCTAAGTCATACCATATTTTATTCCAGCCTTGTGCTTCGACATCTCTATCTTCTCAGTTAAATCCTTCACTCGCGCCATCAATTTGGCACCCTCCAGCTCCATCTTGGAGTCTATATCAGAGTCGTCTGACGAGATAGCATCATGATAACCCGCAGACTAATCAGACAATGAAAGTGAGACTTCGGTTATTCTAAAACCTGTTTCGTCGCTCTCCACTGAAGATGATGAATTCTACATGAAGAGTTTAATCTCAGCCGCTTGGAATTTGGCTATAGGAACGTCATCTTCGCCCACCACTTTGCCATTACCTTTTGAACTAACAGAATTCATCGTAATCAAGAAGAAATGGAATTCAGAAAGTAAAAGGGGAAGGGTGGAAAGAATCCTTAAGAGCGTCGAGGAATTACAACAAAAGAGAACTATGGTTTTGTCGCGGATAAAATCTAAGAATCTAATTGAAAAGAGAGAATTTTTCAAGAACAATGAAGTAATAGAGAGAAGAGATAGAAATTTTACCTTGGAGAGAGGTGGATGAAGAAATAAAGATTCCAGAAAAATATTAGAGGAAATATCAACGATTTTCTTAGGAGATACATGTAAAAATTCACAGAATCTCGCTGTCTGAAGACTTTTGGATTTTCTGCCTACCAAAAACCCTAAAAAAAATTGGGCTACATAAGAAATGTCCATTAAAGCAAAATTTAAGTAAGACGTTGTGTTTTAATTCATTTCGCGAGGTCTCTCTTAATCAAAGACACGCCAAGCTGAAATCATGGAAGACACTCCTGGCGAGCTGACGCTTATTGCGAGATTAAATTGATTTCACTTCATGATCTGCTGAGCTGATTTGCAATCACCTCAATGAATTAGAGAGACTTATTATTAAAGGAGAAAAGAACACATTTTTTAGAAGATTTTCACTAGTAATAACCTAAGTCCATCAAAATAAAAAAAGCCACGCCAACCTAATTAATAAAAAGAAACAACTTATGGATAATGGAAAATTTGTATAAAATCAGAGAAAAATGATATTTTCATATTCTAAATATAAGAATCATCCCTAGAGGATAAAGAAAAAGCAGTTCGGGAGAACCGACTCCCAAATCGATATAACTTTGTTTGATGAAAGCAACAGTTGAGATAGTACATTGAATACGTCTAGTCGGTTTTAATTCATCTTTCACAACTCAATTTATACGTTGTATTAACCAACAGTTGCACTGCACATAGAACAATATATGGAATAGATTTAATAACCAATGCTTCTAATTATTGGACAAAAGTTAAATGATTAGATGAAGAAAAAGGGACAGAAAATCTAGGAACAAAGACTAATAAAGGAGTCAACTGCTACATAATTCCCGGGAATAAATGAAAGAAAAAGACATAAAGAGGAAAAAGAGAGGTAAAGAAAGAGACGATGAGTATTCTGATGCATTTGTCTCTATTGCTTTGTCTGAAGTCACATATTTATTCATCGCTCCCCCGAGGCTTTTATCTCCAACCCTCCTGCTCTTGGGTAGATGCAATTGTTATAACCTAAAAACAGGAAAGCCAAAACAAAAAAAAAGGAGTATTAATAATGTATGAGACTTTTTGATAGTCTTAAACAACATTTTCAATCCAATCAGGTTTCAAACTTGGAGATGACTCAGAGCCTCACATCTACAAGTCACACTCTTTTGAACAACTAAGAGGAAAAATGTAGACAAATGATATTAAACTGATCTATATTGTTTCATATCTAACTTCTACCTAGATACAAGTATAAGAGGAACACCAGTTTAGTTTCTAAAATCAAAATACAAAACACCATATGTAACCTACCTATCACTGATGAAATGATTTCATATGGCATGATCTTTTGATGTATGGTTTTTTTTATACATTCTTTCAATGAAACACATGTACCATCTCAAGAATCTAATGAACTCAATAATGTACAAAATACAGTATATTGTTTTAAAATACAGTAACAATTCCTTAGTAAGGTTTGTTTCGACCAAATGCAAACATATGATCTCATATCTGAAATGTGAATATGATTGTACCGTCCTTTAGTTATAAGTGGCTTAAAGCAAATTTGAAAATGTGTGGCCCTCAACATAAATATTAATGATGAAAAATAACACTAAAAAAATATAAAATACTTAAATCTGCTCACAAAATCTAAGCAAAAACATGTTCACAAAATATAAGTAAATATATAAGTAAAATATAAGAATAAAAAAAGTTATTATATATACTTTTTATTGGCTTTCAAATTCACCTTCATTCCACTTATTGCCGATTAATTTTTTAAGTTCGGAGAGTTTATATGATCCTAAGAATGATGACGATTGATATGAAAAATGAGTAGTAAAAAAAACTTACTAGGGTTATCGGAAGTAATCCTTGCAGTTTGAGAGAAATCGCAATCCATAGCGGTTTCAAGAGATTTTTGGAAATACAAATTCATGGCATAGGCTGTATGAGAGACGACATTGTTAGGCTCAAAACACGCCCCTCCTGGCATTATCGGACCACAGTCGATTCCATGTCCACAAACCCAATCTAGACTCGCTTGCAATTGCTCTTCAGTTGCATCCTCCTTTGGCACACACCATCCCATAGATGTTGTTGCTTTTCCCCCCGGTGGGGACTGTGACGTCTACTATCATCATAAACAACATTCATTAGATACTGTTATTTTTTTCAACAATATGCCAGGTTTGAATCCGGATGGATAATACCTGATATTACTATAAACCATTAGGTTACACCGTTACAAGTTCTGATCCATTATAAATGGCTAATTAAGTACCTTTGAAACAAGTCAATATCAATTGGTCATGGTATCTGTAGTTACCTGACTACTACTACTACTACTAGTTTTAGTGAGGCCAATGTCATAAGCCATGGAAAGATCAGGTTTGAAAAGGCCAAAGGATCGCTCAAAGGAAGGGCCAGGCTTGAGATTCTCATCAAAGAGAGCAAAAATGTAAGTGTCGATGGATTTTCCAGGCATTAGGGGAGTTCCAACCATGGACCTTAAGTAGGCAATGAGGTTTCCATTGTAAGCCTTTGCGTTCTCAACACTTGGACCAACCACGTTGCTATCACCGCTCGTTGGCCAACCTGTTTCAGCCACCACCACTTCCACTTTCTCGAATCCCATCGATTTCAAGGCTGAGTGAACCGCATCAACCTAAGCAAATCCCATGTTTAATTGGATCAGAATAACGTGTGTGGCAATAAACAAATGATTCTTCGGTCATAATACCACAGTGAGATTATTTGATTTTTTTTTAAGTGGAAAATGTGGAGGGCGACCAATTTCCTTGCTACAGAATCTATTGCGAATATTTATGTTAGATCATGTTATAAATAATTGAATTTCAGCTACCCACTTTTCACATGATTTACAATCATTATATAATTACAATAAAGAATTGTAGATCTCGGTGTAACAATAAATTATAGTAAATGAACTGTACCATGAGCTTGAGACCAAGTAAATAATGTGCTCTGCTGTTAATTAATTTGATTAAATAATTAGTAATTCTGTAAACGTATCATGAAATTTCAGCTTGATTGTGAGATTAAATATTATGTGGTCCACCAAATTCAAAACCTAAGACTTAGCTACTTTAATTGGTATTTCGAATAGCAAGTTTAAGAAAATGTTTATTGCAAACTAGTGTTATGTATAAACTTGGTTTATATCATATTAATTAATAATAAAATTCCTCAATAATAAATGTTCTAACGACTCTAATTTGGTTAATACAGACCCCGACACGTGAGAGTTATTTTACCTGAGCATCGAACATGTTCATGTACTTGATTCCGGTATTGGAGTCTACCCGTCCAGGGTTAGGCTGGAAGAGGCAAAACGACAACGTTTCAGGTCTCTGGTCGCTCAGGTACGCAAAGAACGGGTACGGATTAATGACAAAAGGCGACCCGGTTTCGCTAAGAAACTGTAGAATGCCCTTTAAACCGGTCTGATAACCGGGAGCAAACGAACCTGCTGATGGCGGTTCAGATTGACCCAGCACCGTCATGGCGTGAACCGTAGACACCTTGATTTTCCCACCGAGTGAAACCGCCTCAAGGGCCTTTTGAACATTTTGCATCGCTGGGAGAAGCTGGTTCAACAGATTCAGATCATTCGACAACAGAATCTACATCAAATGGGAACATATTTAGTGATTTCCTCAAGAAAATATTGAGCAAGACTCTTTTCTTTCTTGTTATAACTAGCAGAATAACCTCAGAGATTAGTCTGATAGACTGATAGACCGAAAGTCAGACTAATCTCCCAGGCTTATGTTGTGGGGTTGACCTCATTGCCGACATTGATGAGGATGATTTTGGAGGCGGGATAGAAAGGAAGGACGTTGGAATTGATCCATTGAGAAGCGACGTTGATATCAGAGGCGAGAGAAGGAAGATCGCCGTTAGCTACTCCGATGACGATTTCAACGCCGGTTCCAGCTAAGGACTTGATGATGGCGGGGTCGGCTCCGTATAGCCTCACTTTATGGATGGATGTGGATTGGAGGAGTTTAGCTGCATCAGACGGTGGCGGGAGGTTGTCGGCGAGTAAGCCGTAGTTTACTCCGATGTATGACTGTGCATTAGCCGGCAAAATAGAGAAGAGGATGAGAAGGAGAAAGAAGAAGATGGAGAGAGCCATGGAAGCAAAGGAGCGTGGAGAAAATGAGATGGTGAAAATTAATTAAGAGGAGGGTTTAGTAAAAAGTCGGTGAGAAGAAATGAATAATTTAATTAGTTAATAATATAGTTTATGGGTACTACACAAGTACACATAGCCAAATTCTATCATCTTTTTTTTTTTTGACAACCAAATTCTATCATATTGTTTGCAACAATGAATGATTAATCAATTAAAAACATTAATTATTTATGATATGGGCAGCATGTCATTTTTATAAATTAACTTTTGAAAAAAACTCTATATTCTAATTAGGTAGTTGATGCTGGTTTTACAGAATCCCAAAGCTCATCACATGTGCTGGTTTTACGACAATGCACGTGCTCCCTGTCTCTTACGATAATAATATTAAAGAAGTTTTAACTAAAATATTTGTTGATTTCATTTTCGTTGAACCTGATTATATTCAAAAAAATTCAAAATCTTTGTTGCGATAGGAGATTATGTTGGAACTCGATTTTTTGACATAATGGTTTACTGGTGAATTTCCAGCGAAGATGTTCTTCGGAATAACCGGAGGTTAGGTTTGATAAAATTATATCTGTAAGTATTATATCATAATATTATCAAATGTTAAAATTGGAATTCAAAGAAATAGAAGTTCATAGTGAATTATTTGCAAAGTTTAAAATGTAATATTTTTTATGTTCTACTTAAAAATAAAAAATTGATACACTTAAATGTATTAAAGAAATGAGATATTTGAGTTAGACTCATATTACGGACTTTGAAATGTGGTAAATAGGCTAACGATCCATAAATCTATTTTGTGTTTCAAATTATTATTATATATTTAATACATATATTTTTTAGATTTTTATGTTTAAAATTGCTGGTCAACCAAGCATTTTATTTCATAACTCATATTAATTATCTTTTATTCACAATTGACTAATTATTAATTTAAACAATGTAACCTCCATATCTTTTAATAATTGCTTGAATTTATTTGGCAATATTATGGACTATAAAAGAGACTTGTGCCTTCTCATTCTAAAAACATCAAACAACACAATCAAAACATACAATCTCCTACTTCTTTTTTTTGTCTAAATGTGCAACATATTATTAGGTTCGTCAGATTATATTTTTGAATGCTGCAAAATAGTCTATTGTGTGGTTGTATCCTGGGATTCTGATTGTCTAATACTGTCACACTACAAGTAATTAAAGAATTAAAGAAAGAGTGTCTCGCCTCAACACACAAATCCTTCATAGTTCATCAATAAGCAGTATTAACCATTGTATATTTAATTCTGTTTTTATCAATATACAAGCATATGTTCAGTTTTGCCAGATCGTATAAATCATGGTCTTATAGTCTTAAATTTTTAATTTTCGTTATTACACTAACGAAAAACCGATCATTTGTTAAGTGTTGATAAGAACAGGTTTTCTTGGCAATTATTTATTCAGTCTGGATTATGCCTTTTGATATGCTCAAATTAACCCTTAGAGCTACTCTCTCAAATTAAGAGATCACTGTAGTACTAAGGGATCGAATCCACAAGGACTTAAGGCTATCACTCAACAGATTTTAGATTAAAATAAAGCTAAGTAATCAATAATGAAATGAAAATAAAGTAACAACGAAAGCAATGATGTTAAAGGCGGATTGTAGGTTCTTAAAATCAGAAGACAAGACGCTAGGCAATGGGAAATTCGCAGGTTGACATAAATCGCAGACTACGAACTGAAAGGAATATTTATTAAAACCGTTCTAGAACTCGAAACACTAATGTAAAACCAATCGACTTCCGTCGCAGAGATTAACTATGATCAGATTCTAGAATTCCAAATTCCTTTGCAAATTCTAACAACCTAAACATGCATTATAGATCAGGTTCGATATGTTCACAAAATCACTATCCAAATTCCTTTGCAACTAGTTATTTTGTTCATCTAAGATAGTTCTAGTGATTAACAATGTTTCCACATCTATTAAACATCCTAAGATCTGATTTCTAGGTGATCAATCTTAAAAACCAGTGTTAAAGCAATCTAGATGAAGAACCAAATGATTTATCCTTCCAGTTTTGTAGTTCTAACAATTCATTATCAACCTTTGAATAACCCAAAACCTAACTAGCAGATTACTCAGACATAGCAAGTGGAACACAAATCATGACTGAATAAAGTTGCATTAAGAAAATAGAGTAAAAGATGAAGGAGTTCGAAATTCTTCTCTACAGAGTATGGATTTGTCTCCCCAAAAGCTCTCAATCTAATCTCTCTTAGTCTCAAAATAATCAGAATGATAGCCTAACAATGGCTTAGAAAACCTAAATACAAGTCTAAACACGAACTGGGGCAAAAGTGCAAATAGTGGAAAACATTTGGGCTAAGTTGCAATTTCTTCTAATGATTTTTCATACTTCTTCGCGACCACGACCGGTGTCGATCGACACCAAGTAGTGGGTGTCGATCGACACCCTGCTCCTTAATGCCCTCTGAATTGGTCCTTTCAGCATCAACTTCAATATAGCTCCAAAAGGTTCCAGAATCCATAATTATGCTCCATTTGTACCTAAACCTGCAAAGACTCTATAGGACTCGAAAAATACCAAAAAGACTCTATAAACAAGACTTATATCATTGTCAAAAACCAGCAAAAACTATGATATACCACCTTTGTTGATTGGTTATTATTTATTTGTTTGGAATATTTTTAATCTGAATTTTTAAATCAAGTTAAAATCAGTTTTGCAATCGACTTCAACCTCTGTGGCTCTATTTGTTTTTTAAATAAGACTGTAAGACCATCATTTATATGATATGGCAAAACTGTACACATATTTATATATTGATAAAACACAAAATTAAAAATACAATGGTCAATACCGCTTTTTGATAAATTATGAAAGATTTGTGTGTGGAGGCGAGACACTCTTTTTTAATTATTTAATTGCTTGTAGTGTGGCGGTAATCAATCAGAATTCCAGGATACAACCACATGATAGACTATTTTGTAGCATTCAAAAATAGAATCTGACGAATCTAAAAATATGTTGCACTCTTAAACACAACAAGAAAAAAAAAGAAATAGGAGATTGTATGTTTTGATTGGTATCTAAAATGAGAAAAAATAACGTTTATATAGTCAATTTTCTCAACCTAATAGTAAAAATAAATAGAGATTGCATTTTGAGCGTGTAATAATCTTTTAGGTTTAAGTTACACAAATCAGATTGCGTCACCAACAACAATACTTTAAACATATGCAACGTAAAAGTAATAAAAAGAGATTGAGAATATATTCTCATAATAACTATGTTGACGTGAGTTAACATTTTAGTTACAAATTCAGAATTAAATTTATAATAAATAATTTTTTTATTAACGTTGACAGCACTAGTTATAGATGGTATTTTTATGTATTTTATGAATAATAGAATTCAAAAAATGCTTTACTCTAAAAAAATAATTTTATTTTTTTGATTTTTTTTTGTTGTCTCTTTCGTTAAAGTCCAAAAGGCATGAAACTCATTAAGAGTAAAGCAGATACATCTCACGATAAGCCCACTAAACTTCAAACAAAAAAGTACAAAGGCTTGGACACGTGTTTACACGAGTCATAATTGAATAACCTAATCCAGCAACACGTGTAGCTGTGATATGAGAAGTTGCAGCGCCGCTTCTTCCACCGGAATCTTCATCCTTACCGAAATTTGTATCTATTGGATCTCTTCGCGATGCTGCTTTGATCGATTCTGCTCGTTTCTTCTGTATGTATTAACCATTAGAATCTGATGATACTTTCTTGCACCATTAGTAGATATCCCCAGAATTCGTCGGAAGATTTGAAACAAAGTATTCCCCAGACTGTTTTTGAAGAAACGCAAGATCTGCTCACTCTGCACCATAACCATCTGACTGACTCCCCATCAACTTAATTTTACATCTCCAAAAGAAATCTGTGTTTCGATTTAACCGAATACAATCGGCTTAAAAACAAGAATTTACTCTTCAGAGAAGAAACCAAGCACCCAACGGGCAAGAAGTTCATTAAAATCGTCTGGAAACTGAAATTGAAAATAAGCAGAAGGGAATAGAAAAGCAAAATCCAATAAACGGAAAGTTTATTTTACAAAGAACCCGACTTGCTGGATTTTTTTATCCGATAAATGGAAATTTTATTTTATAAAGAACCGGACTTGCCGGATTTTATTATCCGATTAACGGAACAAAACTAAACAAAAAGAGGAGCTTTGCTCTCTGAAAGATCCAGAGAGAGAAGATACTCAAACGGTTAGGTTATAGTACTATAAAACAAATTATCATTTTTCAGACACTTTTCAAAACAACATAACATAAAAGAGGATTTTTTTATTTATTGGCCCATTAGTCAACTTCCTAAACTCGAAGCTTAAGTCGGATTCGATCACCCATTTTATAAATATACCATTTGGTATATTAATAATTATTCACTTTATATATAAAAGGAATTTCACCTCTACTTTCCAAATGTTGAGTTATAGAATTCACTGATTCTATTAGTAGAGACATAAGTAACCTTTATACAAGATGAGAATGTACAATGTAGGAGAGAAGAATATACAGAAGTAAATGTGATGAATCATATGATACGAATGGTGATTGGTTTCTATATCTAACATGCCCTCTCAAGATGGAGCACCATTGGTGAGTCCAATCTTGACCGAAAGTTGTTCAAAGAGTCGACGCGGAAGAGGTTTTGTAAGAGCATCTGCAAGCTGATCTTGGGATGTGACATGTGTTACACGGACTTGACCAGATTGAACTAGAATTCGGACAAAATGATAGTCAAGTGCGAGGTGCTTCATTCTGGAGTGAAAAACAGGATTAGCTGCAAGGTAAGTGGCACCTATGTTGTCGCAGTAAATGGGAGGTGTGGTGTTTGACTTGATGCCCAGCTCGGATAGTAACGATGTGATCCAGCAAACTTCAGAGGCCGTTTCTGTGACAGAACGGTACTCTGCTTCCATGGAGCTCATGGCGACACCTTTTTGTTTCTTGGAGGACCAAGCAATGGGATG